ATACAGAGTGTTGTCTTCAAACCAGTGTGTTCAAGTGCATCCATCGTCAGCACTTAAGTATCTTGGGGCAACGCCTCAGTTCATCGTCTTTGACCAACTGCTCAAAACGTCTCGTGACTTTGTCGTCAACGTTACCACTGTGGAAGAGACGTGGCTGCGGGAAATGATTTCTACAGGAGCTCTCAAGTATGACTTGGAAAACCTACTTTCAACTGTACTGACCGAAATGGTAGTGCCATGCAGTACAGAGCTCATGAAGTTAACGTTTGAAGGATGCAGAGGAGGAAATCTTAATCAAATCGAGAGGAAAATCGCGAAGTCATGCGATGACAGCTTAGTTGTGTTAGAGGAGGACAGAGTTCGTGGGCAAATAAAAGTATTCGTTCCTCCAAAGTACACGGCGAAAGCTCTGTCAATGATGGAGAGTATCTTGGAGGAAAGCAGAAAGATACTGAGGAGTGAGGAAAGAGAGGAGCCTCTGAAAGAAGAATCTTTGGGAAACAGAATTGTTTGGGGACAAGGCGGTGAAATATACGAAGTACTGATGCCGGACATGTACAGAACTGTCACGGTTGATGAGATAGAAGATGGCAACGCAGTGGCTGTATTAGATCACCTTAAAACCTTTGGAGACGTAGTGAGGCACAGTTTTAAGGAGCAGAATGGTAAAATGGGCATTTTTGTAACTTTCAAACGTTCTAAGGATGCGATTAACGCAGTGAAAAGCTCTTCCAACTCCTCTCTGGAAACTGACGTAAAAGTAAAGCCAGGATTTATGATGTCCAGTAGCATCCAAAGAAGTGTTTCTCCGTTTGAAGCGAAAGCCAAGTGGATCCGACGTCGCGGTAAAGGTACAGCATCTGTGGAATTTCACAACTGTCAAGATTTTTATCGCACGCTTGGTAGAATATCATCACTTATGATTAAGTCAGAGGTTATTATTTTCCAAACGGATAAGGTTCGCGAACATCAGATATTCCTGAAAGGACTCCACCCCGACACGTCAGAGGAGGACGTAAGGTCTGCTATCGAAGAGAGACTCCCTGTGGTTAAAGTGAAGAAAGTTTATATTTCCCGAACTTCAGAATTTGAAACACCTGCCAGAACTATCTATGCACAGAGGGCTTCCTTGCAGGAACGTCTCAGCGTCTTGGCGACAGAAGGCCAGTTTTCAATAGACTTGAAAAAGCCTTCTCCCAAAGATTTTGAGGGATATGCTTACCTATCATTTCAAGATCCTGAAGAGGGTCAAGCAGCCATAAGAGCTCTTAATGGAACGCATGTTCCTGGTATCGGAGTTGTAACCCTGCATCCCAACCATGCAACAGTCTTGCTATGTGACAGAAACGTTTACGCAGCCATCAGAGGTGAATTCGAAGAAACAATCGACACTTTAGACGTAACATTTAACACAAGACTGAATGTGAAAGTCAAAGATCAGCCAAAGCATAAGCGTGTTGTCATACAAATACAAAGTAACTGTACGGAACACTTCATATGTACTAGCACTGCTTTAACCAAAATTGTCAATGGTGATGAAATTGACTGCAAAATTTCTAAAAACCTGGAGATTCTATTAACTAACTCAGCGAAAGACGTACTTCAAACAATTGAGAGGGACAGTAGAACCGTGATCAATCAAGATTGGAAGAACGAGGTTGTCAGAATTTATGGACCCAAAATAAACCGAGAATCAGCAAAACAAGCTATAAACAAGTTTCTTGATGATTCCATCGCTGGCAATAGCCACTCTTGGCAGATTTATCTTCGAGGGCCCAACAAGCCCCGCGGACTGCTGAAAGCTCTGTTTATAAGGTTTGGTGCTAATCTGCAAGGATTACGAGACATAAATGGTGTCCAGAAGATCCATGTTGAATTTAGAAACCACGTACTCATCATAGAGAGTTCAGACGAGGCTGAAAAACTAATCAACAGTTACGTGGAGGAATGCTGCAAAAATCCTCCCCAAGAATTGTTTCCTGTACAACAAGACCACGAAACCCAATTAATTTGTGGTGTATGTCTATGCAATTTGGATACAAAAGCAGGTGTGTACCGACTTGCTTGCTGTGGTCACGCCTACGATAAGAGCTGTGTCATTCAACAACTCAAGTCACCAGAATTTCCACTGAAGTGTGTCATGGAACAATGTGGAGAGCCTCTTGTTTGGAAGGATTTGCGAAACTTGTTGAATGACCGTGAAAGAAAGAGGCTCGCTTTAACCGCATTGGGTGAGTACGTCAAAAAAAATCCTGAAATTGTGAAATACTGTCCAACAGCGGGCTGTGACATGGTATACTGTGTCTCAACTGATGAGAGACCCTTCACCTGTGATGCATGTCTAGCTCAAACCTGCACATCTTGTCATGTGCAATGGCACAGCGGGCTCACGTGCGCTGAGTTCAAATCGGAAGTGCAAGCAGGAGGGACGTCTCCTGGAGTGGATGATGAAGGACCCAAGAAATAGTAAGAAATGTCCTAAATGCAAGACATGGATTGAGAAGAATCAGGGATGTAATCACATAGAGTACATGTGTTGACTGTGCCTGCAGGTGTTTCCAACCAGGAACGATGTGTACGATTATTGACACTTTCCAAATAATACTGCAGCATGAATACAATACTGTTTATGCAGACATACCCTTGACAATTAAAGTCATTGGTTGATATTTCATTTTTAGTGGTTTTGAACTTTTCACGTTGAGGACATTGCTTCAGAAGTTGTTCAGTGATAAACTAGACTTAGTAGATGGCTTGAAAATTGCCTATGAATGATGAAAATGGACAAGTCATTAAACAATATTTTTGTTAGAACATGTAGTCAGTTTAGAAAGGGGAGAGCACTCAAATCTCTCCTCGAGTGTACATAATTTCACTCTTATTCTTTTATGTCTGTAAGATTATTTCTTGGTTGTAAGGTTCAGATGAAGGGCACTATGGTAGTGGGTAGTATGATAATTGAAGGACAGAAGTTTGAACCAGAAGCCCTGTCTGTGTAGTCCTTTAATTATAAAGATGACACTTAATTATTTCTGAGTTCTAAGCCATTTTATTTGGATGCATTATGCAGCTAAACTGGTACCTTGAGTATATAATAACTCTTCAGTTTATTATAAAACTCTTGATTGGTCACTAATGAGTCCATACATGTAAATAAGTAACAGAGTGCAGTACAGGAATTCTGCATTGCACTTTGTTGAAGTAAAAGCTTTTAAAAGTCAACAAAAATTACTGATTTCTAAAATAGTTACAAAAGCATACAGCTAGTGTTTTCCTCCACAGTTATTGTTGTAATGGGCCAATTAGAGAAAAGCGTGATCATTTTCCCAGTTTTTCTTGGTAAGTGGTGTGCAGTGCATAGTTTAATTCTATGTTATATGTATCACTTTGTTTGAGTTGCCAGAGCTTTGAATTAATGGTAGTTTAGCACTGTAAATTGTTTGTTTGCCAACATTTTCATTATAGACAAAAAAAAAGTCATAAAAGACATAAGGTAATAAAAGGTTTTAGAAATTGATAAAGTTTGCACTATTTGAACCTTAAAAAAAAATTAATTGATTTCCAGCAGAATTTTCCCAAATTGTTCTTGGTCTGTTTTAGGTTCCCTAAACAACAGCATGCAACCCACATTTCTAGGTTTCCAACATTTTCTATATAAATTAATAGGTAACATATTTTTTTTAATTTCCTGCACTTAGTTTCACTGACTATTTATGTTGGCCCTGAATTTATTTCTACCTTACCAATTTCCACCTAAAAAAAATAAAATTAAAAAAAAAAATTGGTTGAGTTTGAAATCTCCATGATGAAGAAAATTTATGCTAGTTAGGCTGAGAGTGTTTACGAGTTTGGCACCTGATACCAAGTTTGTTTGAAGAGTGTATTCTCACAGTTTCTTTTGGCTTCAACACAAGTAATTTTTCCAAGGAATCTTCACATCCTAATTTCCAGAGCAAAAATATTGATTGGAAATTGTTCCCCACCTCCTCTGGCCATTTCCTCCACAACCCTAACAGAGCCCACCCTCCTCTAGCTCATCTTCTATGGCCTGTTCATTGCTTGCCTCTTTTTGACCTGTGTAGTTTAATTCTGGGTTTGCAGACAGCTGTGGGTCAGTTTTTAAATGGTCATCATTTGAATTTGTGACAAGTCTTTTTTCTGTGAATCCTTTTGCTCCTGTGTCACCTGGAACACGAAGACTTCGAGACAGCTTGGCAATCTATAGGGTGAGAAATGTTTTGCCTTGAAATTGTAACTACATGTGTTGGAGAATGTTTGTTTTGTGAATAGCACACTGACACCATTGCATGTTCAGGTCCAAGCCGTGGATCATTGTGTTGTTTTTCTAAGCACAACACTGAACTTTAAGAATGTTCTCTACATCCTTGTATATCAAATGGGAACCAAGAAACATTAATGGAAATTTGATGAGCTAAGCACCCCAACCCAAAAGGGGTAGCAATATTCATAGTTGTCTCATCTTCATGAAACTGGGATAAGCCCAAGGATAAAGGGTCCAGCAAACCCAAGAACTTCACCACTGTGCTATGTCTACTTAAAATGTACTCCTGTTTTGTCTTATAGTAAGTGCATAAGCTTATATTGTTAAAAAGGGATAGACAATGTTGAAGATGCTACCAGTTTTAGTTCATGTGACTAATTAGGAAATACAGGAAAAATTGAAGTGAAAAAAACAACTTATGCAGTTTTTGTTGGAGTCTCCCAGTTTGTGCAGGGTCTGATTTATTCAGAGCAATTAAACAATAATAATAATGATAACAATTACTGAACAATATTGTAAGCATTTCATATTGTCACTAAGGACATAGTTACCAGTAAATAGCCTACCTAGTCAGCTCAGTGGCATGATCTCAACAACGAAATAAATTTGCAACAGATTCAAAAGCACCTGAGCAACTGTATTAAAATACAGTTGCTCAGATGATTGTTTTGAAAAACAATAACCAGGTGTTTGTCCTAAGCCCAGTAAATATGATTGAATAATGAAGTTAATATCAGTAAGAATAATCATAATAATAACAGGGAGGTGTCTATTTAGGAGAATAGTTCAAAGTAGCCCACTGCTTGGACTACCTGCATTTTCCAACCATAATTATTTTGACAAGAAGGAACTGTTTTCTCTCAACATTTTCAAATGCCATTTTCAACTCACCTCATTGTCTAAGTATGTAAAGAGAGCTTGTGATGTACAACTTTTCAATCCATCAGCATCACCTTGATCAAAACAGTTCAAAACTTTTTCAGCTGCAACTGCTTCCTCTGAACTGCCAAACCCTGGAATTCTGAAGATAGGAGAAAGTCTGTTTTATGACTCATTGCCTTCAGCCTTGAATTTCACTGCTGGTCTTTGAATATTAGTAATCAGTTCAGTATTAACTGGATTATCGATATCATTCCTCCAATTGTATAGAATTTTCATTAAAATCACATAGGAAGTGCCACAAAATTTAATGCTTAGGCTTAACAAGTCAATTTTGGTTTTTTTGGATGATTCAATAGAACACCAATAACAACAAACACAACAACAGAAACAGCCATTAACCCTTACATTATGAATACAATATTGAGCAGACAAATTATAAAAAAAAAAGAAAAATGTCAGTAAGGGGATTTCCAGAATAAGTTGACCAAATTCTCCAAACTAACATCATAAGAATTGTATAGAAGACTTTAAGGAGATCCGGGAGTGAAAGGGTTAAAGAGACCTTTAGAAGATATCTTGAACTATCTCAGGTGTTATGACAAAATAAGGTGGATAGGATAGCATCTTGTAACCTTGGACATGGAATAATTTCATTTTCATGGATCTTGGTTACTTTTCAGTAGGTTATTAGTCAGTCATACATACCCCTGGATGTATTATGTCTCATATGTCACTGTAATGTTTTGGCCAAAAAATCATCCAAGAAATCACTTAGCAAACTAATGCTAAGAGGAAATTTTCAAACTTACTCAAAAGATTCTTTGTAACAGTTATCTGCAGCTACATAGTCACTCTTATGAAGATGAACAACAACCATGCTGAGAACAACCTGGGAACATTTTACAAACAAATGAGTGCTACATCAAAAACATGACAGCTGCCAAAGATTACATCATAACAAGTTGGTGTAATTTGATTAATTGTGCGTGATGTAAAATGCACAAGATGAATAATTAGCAGCTCACACAAGAAGCACAGAAAGAAATGGGTGCCTGAATGTCCAGATGGTTAAGAAGATTTTGTGTCTTGGAGGTAAATTGATTTCAGTGTAGATAAAGTTTCACCAAACACACAAAATGAATGAAAAAACAAGGATAAAACAGGCATAGTCTGATTCCTAAGACAGTAGTCTGATTCCTAAGACAGTAAAAAAGTCACTCCCACACACAGGAACCAAAAAGGAATTTCTCCCGACCATATAAATGCAATTTCAGGCAAATGGGATGGAAGGGGGGGGGGGAGGGAAGAGTACCAAATATGGGATGTTCTTTGATTGACAGTCAGATTCTCAGAGAATTGACAATCAAGTCTCAGAGGTGAAAGGGTTGAAGTGTCAAGGGTGTTAAGAGTGAACTAGGTTGTTCATAACATTTAAAATTAAAAAATAAACACCAATTTATAATGAAAAAAAGAATACCTTGAACATCATTTGAAAGTTCTCCACTTGCTCATATAGTTTTATCTGTTGTCTCATAACCTTCAGAGCCTCTGGAAATCTACAAAATACCGAGAAGTCAGAGTGAAAAGTGCTTGAAAGTACTAAATGAAAAAAGTGAGATTTGTCTTGACTTCACATCTACTGCACACCTACACCATGCTGTCAATTTAGATTCTCAGCCTACAAAGTGATAGAACTATAATTAACATGCAGTACCATCATTGTATCAAAAGAAAAAAAATCAGAAAAATTAGTCAAAAGTAGAACAAACAAGCCTCAATCTGTCATGAACCTCTTTGTATTGAGTTCCCTGCTAAATCAAATACTGGTATTTCTCCATCACCAATTGAAATTGTAGAAGTAAATAACTGAAGTTTAGTCTCTTGAAAGGCTGGTAAAGATGCTTCTATAGGTGTAAAAGTTAAAATTACCTTCTTAGTTTTAAAAGAAGGTTGATAGCCTTTGACAAAGGTTCAATGGCCTCCCTAACTTTGTCTTCAGACTGTGATATAAAGACACAACATACATAAAATAAGAAAATGTCTTGGATACAATATATGGTTAAACCAAAAGGTAAAATTTGATCCTGTAGTCTGAGTGGTCCTGAGAAGGACTGTTGGAGAGAGTAGTGACTCATCATAACAGACGACTAGAAGAACAGATGTAAATGTGTGTCTGGTACTCTGTCTTCAACAATGGATCATTTGCATGTACTTTTCTTCTCTCTCATTGGATAATGTTTATATCATTTCAGGCACATTTCAAAATGAGTCTATTACCACTCTTCTAGCTTACATTTTTGGCTAATTGTGATAAACTGAACAGCAGTTGTAAAAAAGAGTCAGATTGGAGATGTTGCATTTGCATGCTAGTATCAAATGTAGTATGGTGTACATACAACATTCATTTCACTGGCTGAGATGTATAACTCAGCTGCCTTTGCTGGATCACTGTTATCGCACATCCTAAAAACAGCAAAATAAAATTTAGCCAGGTGATATGAATGAGCCACAAGAAGCCACGTGTACTTTGTGTATGAATTCTTCAAACCATTTCAATTTTCTCTGAATAAGACTTATGTTTAAAAACAGGACTTGTCAGTTAAAAGAATAAGATGAAGGCACCTTGTATACTTAAAAAATTTTGAATCACAAATATTGAAAAGGAATTTCACCAACCAGCAATCATTTCTCAGAGTAACCAAATGCCTCTCTACTGTACAATAAAAATATCTTGCATGGAAAAAATCTCTTCCCTGCCTTCTTTCCATTTCTCCCAGAATAATTTTTATTTTCCATGTTTTATAGGTCCGAAAAACTATTGTAGATGTCTATAATTTTAACTTTTTACCAGGTCTGATTCTAGTTGACAACATCTGCCATAGAACAAACACATATCACATAGCGGTTCAAATAAATAAATGTATTGAGGCTACATCACTAAGCAATGTTCAAGTAATGCACTGTAGGTAAATTTTAATCTCAGATAAAATGTTTTTTCCATGGGTTGATTAACACTTTCCTTTGTCTCCTTTCTTTGATTTTAAAAGAAATCTATAATCAACCTTGATGGAAAACTTTTACCTGAAATTTAAAGGTTGACTCACTTGGCTCCTCTGATGAGGGCAAAAGCCCCTGTATCTGGGTTACCACTTTGTCTGTACATCTCACTGCCTTACAATAATAAGTTATCAGTTATTAGTACTGTAATGTGTTAGGAACTATGGAAAAAGATGAAACACAAGCAAACTTGTATTAAGCAGTCACCCACAGGGAATGGCAGGGTGACTGCTTAATACAAGTTCTTCAGAATAGGAGTGACATAAATATGACAAACAAAATGCCATTTTGTTGCCAAAAATTGACCACTTAATGTACTCCCTCAAAAATACTACTAACATTGATTTACAGAGAGAAACATGGATTAAATGATACTTGAAAAATCATTCTTAGTTTTATTTGAGAGGTTCTGCCTTATAAAATATGATCATTAAATACTGGTGGAAGACAATACAAACTGGCCTTTGAGAGTCACTAAAAGGTGACAAAAGCCACTGTGTATGTGCAGGAGAATGGTGTAGGGACCATTCACTGTGAGTTTA